CCCCAAAACCCCAAAACCCCAAAACCCCATTGCCTGGAATATTTTAGCAATTTACACATTAAGAAATCAAATTATGAATAAATTTGAAAGCCTACTTGTATATTATTATCATATTGTGTTATTAGCATTTAATTCATCACTATTATGATAACAACTATAACTACTACTATTTAGCATTCTAATTATTTGAAGTCTTCTTAAAATCCTTATACTCTTCAATTTGAAACTCTAACGGTTTATTTCCGATGGCATTGCTTAGCAATCTGATATCCATCACACCCTCCCTGAATGCTTATCTGAGTCTTTCAATTATAAGTTCGCCTTAGTCGTTAAGGCATCCGAGTCTTTGCCACTTACGTTTCAAGGAGGTTGCGAAAAATTTAGTTCCTTCATTTTTTTCTTTCAATAATCTACCTCTTACAATTTCTTCAAGAATTGGATTGTAAGACCATCTAGGAACTATTCCGATAAGACTTGGGTCCAAGAACTATAAAATTAATAGAATTTTATTGAAATTTTACTTACCCTACACCAAAAATCTATAGTCTTATCAAGATCAAATTCTCCAATCTCGATGATACAGAATAATTCTAAGAATTGCTCCCATGTAATTTCAGAGGATTTTTTAGCAATATCAATACCTAGTGCTGAAAATAATCTATCCTATACTGATGGAAGAATATGTCCAATAAATGGACAGTGCTCCTGGAAGAATGTCAAGTGCACTCCTTCTTTAAACTATTAGCGATGATCATCCACTTCTGGTGGACTCACATTTTACTGCAGAATACTCTCTCTTCTCTTGACTTTCTTGGGACTTAAGCTATCTTTTCCATCTTTGTTCTCCTCAATCTCAACTCTTCATATCTTTTGATCCACAAATATCATTGAGTTAAACAAAGAGTTTAATTCGTAGACTTATCTTCTGGTCAATACAAAATCCTCGCAAATCTTTTACATGACTTTATTTGAAAGCGTTTTAGGCTAGATTTGTGAAGTTAAATTTGACTTTTTCTTTTTAGATTCAGAAAAAGATCTCTCCTAAGAAATCTCACAGGTTTAAGCTCTATTAGATTCAAGCTAAGATTTTAGTAAGGTCCTATTAATTATTTTTCTCAGAACCCCTGGCTTTCTCTGAATTCTGACTCCTGATTGAAATCTTGGGACTATCACCCCGTTGTTTTAATTTCTGTAGATAGTGTCATAAAACTCATTTATGTTGCTCTTAACTTTTCCAACTTTATCATTATCATTCATCAAGTTCTAGAATTAAGCGTAGAGATAATCAAAAACAGTCTCTTATACTAAGTTATCATGGCTTTTATCAGAACTAGATAAAAACGAATTCATTTAATTATGCTAAGGTGATCTTGATGAGTTGAGATTAATACCTGCTTATAGATGAGTTCTTGAAGTCTTAGAGAAGAAGTTATGCTTTGTGATATTAAAATTAATCTCTTTCTTCAAGTGATTTTTCTCTACCCACTATTCACAAATATTTGTCATCACATCCTTTAATTCTGACTTTAACTAAGGATCATTAAGAGTATCTTAAATTGAGGGTTGTAAGTTTTTAATTAACTTTGACAACCCTTTAACACCTTGAAATTTTTGCTCCTTGCAAAATACTAACACCTTGTGATTTCTCTCTATAAAATTATTTTCATCAATATCATCTCCATTCAATAGATAAAAGTATTTGTAAAAAAGATCTAGATCTTAATCCTTTTTAATGAACTTTTTGTTACAGTCTACTATGAATTGTTGAAATACTTGTGATAAAAGTAGTTGAGAGGGACGGACTAACCTCATTAATTCATAGATTGTTACCCGAGAAGAAATTTGAAATTCATTTTTATTTGGCATCAGCATATTGAAATAAAGATTTAAGTCGACTTCGATGTAATTTCTTTTGTATCTAAAATCTTTACTTCTAAAATCAGAACCCTGAAGTACAATAAAAAGTAGCTCATCGGTATTGTTATTTTATAGATTTCTGAGGAAATAGTCAGTGTGAGTTTGATTGAGAGAATTCAATATTTTGGAGGTTTAGCCTCTTTCTGTATAATTAGCAAAGTTATTATTTAAATTTAGAGGACTGCAATCATTATTCTTAGTGGAAGTAATAAATGGAGTAGCATTTGTGTTTAATTATTTTACTCTTTAGCCAAATAGCTATTGCTTATTAGGAGTTTGAAAAAGTGTCTAGAGTTATCTTCTTGGACTTTTTTAAGTTAGGGATTTAGGCATATCAAGATTTGAAATAGCTCTCTATCTATTATTAGTCAATTAGTCTCTAATTTAAAAAGATCCCTAGGTAACCTGCTAATCGCGAGTTGTTTACAGCTCATTTTGCTCTTGATTATCAGATTCAAGATACTTGACTCTTTCCAGTACTTTGGGCAGCTGTCCTCGATTAAGTTGAGAGTGTCTACTAGCTTTCTTTGAAATACGCCCAATGTCATTTATGCTATTTATAATTGGCTACAGAGCAGCATTAGTAAACACTTTTTTATATCTATTTTTAGGTGATGATGTATATGATTCATTAATTCTACTCTCTTGCTCATTATTTACTATCCTATGAGCATTAACTGAGTTCAAAAATTTTTCATTTGAGAAGTTCAGGTCGTCATCCTCCACAACTCTCTTATTAAATTTGGAGAAATTTTTTATCAATATGCTTGGCCTGTTAGGATGCTTTTAGATATCAGATATTACCAAGAGATCACTAAATGTCTCTTTGCGTGCATCCATAACTTTGTTAAACCTAAACTGGTTATCGAGGACTTTATTTGACTGGAGGAAACTATATTTCTTTAGGCTACATTTAAAATTTATTAAGGTTAATGGTATAATACTTTTTAGAAGAGTTCTATTGGCTAAGAGGCTTGATAATATGAAGCCGAGGTACTACATCAGGTACATACATAGTTTGCATATTGTTTCTCATTTATGGGCTCTGTCTCATTTAATATATATATTTATTCTAAAATTGAGAAAAATAAAATAGAGAGACCAAATTTAAATCCCTACTTTAACTTCAAACATAGACTGATGGGGTTTTGGGGTTTTGGGG